ACATATTATAGACAGATTGATGGTATAGCGATGGGTTCGCCACTAGGTCCCATCCTTGCGGATTTTTTTCTGGCGAAACTAGAAAACGGACCTCTCAAGGAGGTTATCAATAAACTGGATTTCTACTGTCGTTACGTTGATGACACCTTCATCATTGCCGATCAAAACCTTAGAAAAGAACAACTACTGGAACTATTTAATAACAAACATCCTGCTATTAAATTTACATGTGAGGAGGAAATAGATAACAAACTAAATTTTCTGGACGTTTTGTTAAGTAGAAAAGAAGATGGTTCTATCAGCAGGGGTGTGTATAGGAAAAGTTCTTCGCATAGCCAATACACACATTTTTTAAGCTTTGTGCCTCTTCATTATAAGAGAAACTTAGTCAAATGCCTTGCAAATAGAGCTCTTAAGATATGCTCAGTCGACACTATCGATAGAGAATTACAACACATTCATAATATTTTGATTGAATTAGGATATCCACTGGGTTTTCTGAAGAAACACTTGCGCGTAAAAAACAGGAAAATAGTGACCCTGACGGCTAATAAGAAACCACTTTTCTTGAAACTGCAATTCAATGGTGATGTGGCTAGCGATGTATTACGAGATAGATTGACTAAATCAGTAAAGAGAACGTTTAATGCTGCCAACCTCTGCCTATCGTATTCGACCCGATCGATGGTGATTCCGCAATTGAAGGATAAGTTACCTGGTTATGCCACTTCTATGTGTATCTACGAATTCAGCTGCTCCTGTGGAGAAAGCTATATCGGGCGCACTACCAGGCAACTGAACCAACGAGTTAGTGAACACCTCCCTTCGTGGTTAGGAAAAGGCTATGTCAAAACAATACGCAGCTCGGTTCTATCACACTTGATCGATAGCGGTCATATAGTGGACAGAAACAAGTCGTTCAAAGTTATTTATCGGATTCCCACTAGTTTTCCTTATGGTGTTCGATCTCGTCTCTTACACATAGCAGAAGCTATAGGAATCCGAGCCAACAAGCCAAGTCTTTGTGTCCAGAAGAAATTTGTAACTCCCTTATCTCTCCCTTGGCCTTAAGTAATAAATGAATTTATTTATTTATTCTCTTCGTTTATTATTTTTCTTCACACCCTCCTACCACTTTATTTTCTCTCAACTATACGTTTCATGGTCCAATTATCTGAACATTTCTTATTACGTCATCTTATAATTTTATAATTGTTATCTCAGTTTCTATATTTTTTCTAATCATTGACCTATTTCAGATTATGTAACATTGATTTGAACCTTTATTATTATTGCTTATCAAAAACTAATGCACCTGTTGTCACACCATCAATTTGTACTTTTCACATTTTACTTATTATGTAATCCTTTCCATTGTTATCATTAACTTATAAACTACCTTGATTGGTTTAATAATTTCGTATATGCATATAAATATTACTGTATATTAGAGTAAAGCCTGATGAGGATCTAATCGAAAACAATATTGTTCGCTTATATATGTTGTTCTAAATTTACAATATGGGAATATTTCAAATTTTGAAGTCACGTGGGGATCCGATTGCATTTAAGGTGCTCAATGAGTTCCTAAAGTTTAATGCTCGTCTCACTGAAGCGAAAACATCGTTGGAATTTATTAATGATTGTATGCGGAATGATAGATATCCTAAAATATATTGGAAATGTTTACGCCGGAACAAAGTTTATCCGAATGCCAGAACCCTTAAACGGCATGCACTTAACCAAACGGATTCATTAAAATTACACATAAACAGTCTAGAAAGAAATCTTTCACAAAGAGAATATATGCTCGATAAACTACCACAGGAAATAAAATCACAATTTATGGATTATAATAACATGGTGGCAAAAAGTAGATCAGAAAAACTGAGAGCAAAACTAATTCAGTCACTTGAACCTCATAAACCTGAAAGAAAATTTCCTATGGACCCTGAGCGGTACGTTCATAATTTCTCTAGTGTCACATTAGACGCATTGCAAGTAGAGGCATTGTCACTCGGCCCTAGGTTTTGCGACTATAATAATAAAATAAACCAACTAGATACAAATGTACAGTTTGAAAATTTATTTACACAAACAACAGATTTGGTGCCTACTTCTCCTGAGGAATTAACCAGGTTCAAGACCACGTTGGTAGACATCTGCCAACAATACAAAAATAGTAAATGTACGGTGAAAACTCCACTTACCAAACAGCACCGAGGTGCTTTACATGTACTTAGAAACGACAATACTCTAATCATAAGCAAGCCGGACAAAGGAGGGGGGCTAGTTCTTATGAACAAAGCTGATTACATTAGTAAAATGAACGTGATTTTGAATGATCCGACAAAATTTCAGAAACTCAACGACATTAAGGACTTAAATATAAAGGCAGAAAAATTGCTGACTATCTCACTGAAGGAATTAAGAAATAAAGGTATTCTTACTCCTGACTTACATGACTCACTCAAGCCTACTGGATCGAACACACCGCGACTATATGGTTTACCTAAAGTTCACAAGACAGGTCTTCCTCTTCGCCCAGTTTTAGATATGTATAATTCGCCTTATCATAAAACTGCAAAGTGGCTAGTTCGTATCCTAAACCCCTTACACAAATTAGTCGTCAATAGAAGCGTGAAAGACGTCTTCGATTTCATATCTAAAGTGGAACATATAAATTTAAATGGGAAACGAATGATATCTTTAGATGTTGCTTCCCTGTTCACCAATGTGCCGTTAACAGAGACTATCGATTTTGTGTGCCAACAACTGCAGGAAAAACAAATCAATATTGGAATTCCTGGGGTTAGTCTTAAAGAATTACTTTTAAAATGCACAATGAATGTCCATTTTGTCTTTAATAACACATATTATAGACAGATTGATGGTATAGCGATGGGTTCGCCACTAGGTCCCATCCTTGCGGATTTTTTTCTGGCGAAACTAGAAAACGGACCTCTCAAGGAGGTTATCAATAAACTGGATTTCTACTGTCGTTACGTTGATGACACCTTCATCATTGCCGATCAAAACCTTAGAAAAGAACAACTACTGGAACTATTTAATAACAAACATCCTGCTATTAAATTTACATGTGAGGAGGAAATAGATAACAAACTAAATTTTCTGGACGTTTTGTTAAGTAGAAAAGAAGATGGTTCTATCAGCAGGGGTGTGTATAGGAAAAGTTCTTCGCATAGCCAATACACACATTTTTTAAGCTTTGTGCCTCTTCATTATAAGAGAAACTTAGTCAAATGCCTTGCAAATAGAGCTCTTAAGATATGCTCAGTCGACACTATCGATAGAGAATTACAACACATTCATAATATTTTGATTGAATTAGGATATCCACTGGGTTTTCTGAAGAAACACTTGCGCGTAAAAAACAGGAAAATAGTGACCCTGACGGCTAATAAGAAACCACTTTTCTTGAAACTGCAATTCAATGGTGATGTGGCTAGCGATGTATTACGAGATAGATTGACTAAATCAGTAAAGAGAACGTTTAATGCTGCCAACCTCTGCCTATCGTATTCGACCCGATCGATGGTGATTCCGCAATTGAAGGATAAGTTACCTGGTTATGCCACTTCTATGTGTATCTACGAATTCAGCTGCTCCTGTGGAGAAAGCTATATCGGGCGCACTACCAGGCAACTGAACCAACGAGTTAGTGAACACCTCCCTTCGTGGTTAGGAAAAGGCTATGTCAAAACAATACGCAGCTCGGTTCTATCACACTTGATCGATAGCGGTCATATAGTGGACAGAAACAAGTCGTTCAAAGTTATTTATCGGATTCCCACTAGTTTTCCTTATGGTGTTCGATCTCGTCTCTTACACATAGCAGAAGCTATAGGAATCCGAGCCAACAAGCCAAGTCTTTGTGTCCAGAAGAAATTTGTAACTCCCTTATCTCTCCCTTGGCCTTAAGTAATAAATGAATTTATTTATTTATTCTCTTCGTTTATTATTTTTCTTCACACCCTCCTACCACTTTATTTTCTCTCAACTATACGTTTCATGGTCCAATTATCTGAACATTTCTTATTACGTCATCTTATAATTTTATAATTGTTATCTCAGTTTCTATATTTTTTCTAATCATTGACCTATTTCAGATTATGTAACATTGATTTGAACCTTTATTATTATTGCTTATCAAAAACTAATGCACCTGTTGTCACACCATCAATTTGTACTTTTCACATTTTACTTATTATGTAATCCTTTCCATTGTTATCATTAACTTATAAACTACCTTGATTGGTTTAATAATTTCGTATATGCATATAAATATTACTGTATATTAGAGTAAAGCCTGATGAGGATCTAATCGAAAACAATATTGTTCGCTTATATATGTTGTTCTAAATTTACAATATGGGAATATTTCAAATACATTCTTCTTTCTTAATGTCTTACATCAACTTGGCGCCTAAATACTGTGAAACTATTCAATCAAATTTAGACGAAAAGTTTTATAAAATATAATTTTATATCAAAATAGTTTTAATGGTATTTCTTTAGTTAATATTGAAAATATTGGTGATTGGTGACCAATATTCCTAAGTCGACTAATAATCTGAAAACCAGTCCATAGAATATTCTAATTACATTTTAAACAAACATAATAATTAATGACAAAATTCTTGTTATTAAAAAGCTTTAGTTGTTGTTCAAAATAACATCACTAATATCTTATCTTGTTCAGTTGACTGTTACTCGAACAAGACAGTCAACTGGACTCTAAGGACAATCTTAGCTAATGAAATTTACTAGAATAACCAACCACAAAATGATCATCAGGATATACTGATCTAATGCTTATGAAATTAATGAATATATGAAGTAGATATTTATAATGTCCAGAACGTAAGTGAAATCTTCGTAATCAGAGCTACAAATCCTTTTTATCATCTTCGAATAATTATAACCATACGTGGTTAATATTCTTATAGTATAATATGAACAATTATCATATAACTTACAGTTTCTATAAGCCGATCTATAGCTGTAATACGGTGCTGTAATTCTTCAAATGATATAGTCAGTTCTGCTTCTCTCATTCGTGCTTCACCTAATTCCGTTTGTAATGTTAAAATTTCATTGGATGGATCTACTGCTGCTTCTCGTTTTTCCTGAAAAACAAAAGAAGAATAAACTGGAATTAAAATTAGAGTTAACCAGCCATTCGCTTTATAAGTTTCATAAAACAAACATTTATCATTATCAGAATGTGTTTTGTGGAGATTTTTTTCGAGATTTTCACAGATTGAACTCATGAGTCAGTTGAAGCTAGACCACCATTGAAAACCTGGAAGCACTGGACGGCCGTTTCGTCCTAGTATGGGACTCCTTAGCAGTGCGCATCCACGATCCCGAACCTCACGGGATTCGAACCCAGGACCTACTGGCTTCGCGCGCGAGCACTTAACCATTAGACCACTGAGCCGGCATCCAACCGTGTTAATGTCTAACTTCAACCAATCCACGAAGTTGCGCTACCGTACACCATTGTCTTCAGTGAGTTCCTATCTCACGACAGACCTGGTTGAACTCCACTGGTGGTCTAGCTTCAACTGACTCATGAGTTCAATCTGTGAAAATCTCGAAAAAAATCTCCACAAAACACATTCTGATAATAATAATCACCTGCTCACTAGTGACTGACTTCAGGAGACATTTCTGGAGTTCTAGTGAGAAGTCGTTACCAGTGGAAGCACTCGCTCAAAGGTCGTTCATAAATTATAGTCTCACCCTTTCAAGCTAAAGACTGTGAATTCTAGTTGATTCTGTTCGTTGTTCAGGTTACTACCCCTTTTCACGTGAATCGTGCTTGTTTTCTAGTTTTAAATTTGTAAATAATCTCAAACGGTTAATTGTTATATATATATATATATATATATATATATATATAATATGTAATCCCTAAACCATGACAAATGGATGTTTATCTTATCATTGGTGTTAATCGATCTGATAACAATGTGGTCACTAATCAAGCGATTTGGTATCAGTGGTTAGAGATACTCTAAAAGTGGGTTTGAACATCGTTTTTGTCCTAGTTAGCCTTCATCAGCAAGGTGGATTTACGATTAAGAGAGAACTGTTTCCACTTGTGAGATTTAGGCACAAGTCAACTTGTGTTACAGTTAGAGGTGCTACATTTGAAATATTTATACTGAAACTGAATGATACATATTCGAACCTCTACAAGAAATGTCAATTTTCTCAACACTTTAAACACACTTTACTAATGAGTACTAAATAACATGAAATTTATTTATATAATAATTCATTTAGTAGTACCCCACTACTTGTTTTACTTCTAATATCATTAAACTTTATCTTGAAAATTTAACAAAATGTCTAATATCACCTATTGGTTAAACTATACATTTATAAATAGCACATTTTTTATCAACATTTTTTATATCTTAACCATCCCTCTCTTCCCCTATGCAATGCATTTTAATTAATCAACAAATTATCATTGAATATATCACTTTCGAAATGCAAATTACAAACGAATGTGATAAATTTTTTTCTTCTTCAAATTCAAGATAACGTATTTGTACATATTTGTACATTATACCTTATTACTTGTAATCTTTAATCCATAGATACACGTATTTAAAATGGTTTTACTTTAGAAAATTTCAAATAAAGATAACATTACCATGGAAATTTATGATTCTTGAAATAATTTTTTTTTCAAATTTATCCAGAACATTATCAAATATGTTTAACTGATAAATTAGTTTCTATGAAGAAACGGTATAGATTATTGATTAATTTTATGGTTTATAAATGGTAGTTATGTTATAACTTGTGACCTGTGTGCCCTGCTAATGTATGACGTAATGATACAACCAATTAGAGAGCAATGAATTATCGATCGGACCAATGATGAACAGTCTAGAGTACTTATCGTTCTTGTTGCCTGACTTAGACCAACCAGTTAAGTTCAGAACACCAATCTCAGCCTCTGCAATATGAATCATTTATTTCAAACATACCAACCAAACAGACCACATCGTATCATAAAATAGGAAACAATAATTGCACAGGATTTAGCCAAAAGTGCCTGTGAGTGTGAGAGGTAGTAATTAATAGATAGGGCATAATTCAAGAATGGTAAAGCGTATAGTAATAGTTCATAGGTTAAAATAAAGCTCATAATAAGAGGGACACGAATATGAACAGTTTAGTTATTTAACAATTATACCATAAAAATGTACGCATAGTATTGGTTCATAAATGGATCCCAAAAGTTACCATTCATTATTCTTATCAGGACATAACAAGTTATGAATTATTTTGTGTTTCATCTATGAAAAAAAATTTTCATTGATATATAATTAATTACTTAATTAATTAATGAGACATGAAAATATAATTTAATGGTGAAAGTATGTTTTATTTTGACTCATTTATGGTGTTATAGGTATAATTATTATTCCTAATTAGATAGAAACCTGTTTCTTTCACATTAAGATATATGGATGTGTCATTCCAAAACGAAAAATGAATAAATGAAAAGAAAGAGGTAGAAAAGGAAAATTAATTAAACTCAAATGTCAAGTACTTGCTATTCAATCTCTGACCATTAAAAATGTAAAAATATAGAGGAAACGAATTTAAGATTTTTAGATTATTACTATTAATAATAATTACTAGATTGTAAACAATAATTGGGTATATTCCTTTCTTCATACACAGAATTATTGATCAAGTGAATTCACCAAATAAATGTAGTTCAGATCAGGTATTAACGCTGTTGGATGCCAGCTCAGTGGTCTAGAGGTTAAGCGTTCACACTCGAGACCGAGGGACCTGGGTTCGAACCTCGCGAGCGGGATCGTAGGTGTGCACTGCTGAGGAGTCCTACAATAGGACTAAACGGCCGTCCAGTGCTTCGAGGTTTTCAGTGGTGGTCTAACATCAATCGGCTCATGATCTCAATCAAAAACTTGATAGCCCCCACAACCCCATACTGATAAATGTGGACAGTTTTCTAAAGCCAGTTCTTTATGTATTTCCCAGTATAACTATTCCTGTAGAGCCATATACTTTAGATGTGCTTCTGTTGGGGACTTTCAACTCGTAAAAAACAGACAAAAATAATAACAAACAGAAATCTTCTCTATCTAGTCAAAAGTAGACACTGAAATTACAATTATTTGGCTTCTAAAGTTATCCACTGAATCCTATTCGGCTTGTAATTTACTTCACGACTTCTCTTCTGATATGCATATGGATGATCTAAGGAATTTATAAATGTAACCTTTGTGTCTATAAGAATTATATTCGGCCACTTTCTTTACCATGGCCATTATTTTTATCAAATGAATTACTCAAAAACTGTAGCGTGTATACAAATGATATACTGCATTTTAGCTTGCTTAACTATTGTTAATTATAAACACTTTGGTTAATTCATGCATTGTCGTACTACAAACTATTTATGCCCAACATGGCAACTTTTTTCACGCTATTCAACGTATAACTAATTGTCAGTATAGAGTTGTGGACATCGTCGAGTTTCATTGAAATCATGAACTAATCAATGTTAGGCCATCATTTAGAACCTGAAAGCACTGAACGGTAGTTTTGTCCTTGTATGAGACTCCTCAGTAGTGAGCATCCACGATCCCGCACGTGGGACTTAAACTCGGGACCTTCGGACTCGCGCGAACTTTTGAGTTGTAGACCACTGAGTATGCAGGTTTAAAGTCAACAAAAACCAATCAACATTGAGGTCTACAGGACAATTTGTGAACCACATGTGCAGAAATTCGAACACTTCACTTCTACCTGAAGTTTGCTCTGATAATGTCGTTCAGAAGAACAATGAAAGCTCCACGACCAAACCATCCAGCTCAGAGAGCAATACTCCATCAAAATCATCCACCTGAGCTACAAATTTTCTCCATCATCTCAGTTAATTACTTACATAGTTCAGTGATCTATACAAAGATATCTATCAAACGAATCACTATGAATTTTAAATGATCAATTTTTGTTAAATGCTTAGAAATATCAGTACAAACTGAAAAGAGTCGATTTTATCATTAAAATTCATACTAGCAATGCTAGTAATTAGCAGAATTTAAAAAGTTTATGCTTTACAGCTCGACAGTAAACACTGAAGTCCTTACTTATAAAAAGATTACAAGAAACTTCAATGTGTGATGAGAAATTAATAACTAAATTCAAAAAGCGAGTCATATTGTTTATCATTGTCAATATTATTAGTCTGTTCACAATACTATTTGATACAGATGTAAAGAACTAACAGAATATAATATACTACTTACTGATGACAAGTAGTATTAACAAAAGTTATTTGTACTTTCAAACAAAGTAGTTAACATTAGCTCATTAACAGATTTTTGTGAGTTGGACAAACCAATGAACCTTACATACACTCACTCTATTTCTTAACAGACTTTAAATAAACTATTCTCTTGGGTAAATGAACAGACATTCTGTTATTTCAACTGAAAAATTAAACTTTACAAACGTTTCACAATGTAATCCTAAGAGCTGAGATTGAAAAAAATATTTGAAGGTATTTATAAATATGTACTTCTTCTACCTTCATGTCATGGTGAAAAACAGTTTCATACCAATCACTGTCAAACGATAAACATGAAATACATTTTGAAGTACACTTAACAACCTTCAGATTCAATCTTCGATTTTGATAGAAACACACGATAGACTACGGCAGAAATTATGTCATCATTTCATAACATTGCTAATACCTTGAGTTATTATCCGAATTCAAAGACAAATCAATCTAAAATGTATCGAGTAATGAATATGCAGAGTTAAAAGAACAAGTTAAAAGAGTCAATAGCTCAAGATCACAAATTTAAGGTATTTATGGTCTATAAGTATCAATCTGATGATCTTTAAAAGTTAGAATTAATATGAATAGAGAATATATGAAACCTCGGTAGTTATCATTTGAGTGAATCAATCTATTCTATTTATTTACTAAACAACTGTTTAATCGAATTTTTATGCAGCCTTAGTTGTAAGCTATACTTTTCCATGTATTGCTATGACTCCATCTGATAAGCCTTTTAGACTAGGGCAGAATAAAGAAGAAGAGTTAGAAGGTGAAGTCAACAACCTTACCTCACAGAAAATATCTCACTAATCAGAAATTATTGTCATAACTTTTACACATAAAAAAATACATGATTAATTACTAATTGATTATTTAGTTTTTATAGTAAAAATGCACTAATTATGTACCTATTGAGATTTATGGATAGAGATGCTGTCTAGTCTTGTATTTCACATTGGTAATTATGTGAGTTATGTATCTGAATAAATGCTTAAAACCAAGTGTTTGTGACTGCTTATTTGATTTTGTGCTGATGTATTGAAAAGTTTAGAAAGTGAACAATAGTTTGTATTGTAATCGGAAGAAGGAGATTATCATAACTACGTGATATATTAGTGTAATACATTTTGAACAATCTGACCACATATATACTTGTTAAGAACATTCTTGTATAAAAACAAAAAGGTCAACTACATAAATGTAGGCACGAAACAAAAGTAATAAAGAAATTAATGTGAAGAACAATGTGAAATTCACCACTCAGGATAATAAACTATTATTACTAGGGTAGGTTTCAGACGAGAACAATTTATTATCCAGCGCAGTGAATTTCACATTGTTTTCATATTATTTTCTATATTATCTTTGTCTCCACTTACTTACATTTGTCTAGTTGACCTTTTTGCTTTTATACAGAAATGTTCTTAACAAGTGTATGCGTGATTAGATTGTTTGAAATGTATTGCGCGAATATATCATATAGTTCTGATCATCTCCATCTTCATATTCTTTGTCTACTTATTACAATACCAAAGTTTATACTGTGTCGAGTAAAAGATTTCTTTAAGAAACAATGTACAATTAAACCCGATTGATTTTTGACCATAATAGTAATTCATTTGATGAAACATGGTTAACTTATTAAATGGCAGGGTAGTTGGTCAATTATTATCAGGTTTTGTAAAAGAAAAATATTCTCTTTGATAAGTTATTATCAAGTTCAACAATTTTTGGTTTGAATTAATAACCAAGGAATATGAACCAATTTGAAGGCAAATGCTTAGGTAATAATATCAATAGTTCTATATCAGAGCATCCAGTTCAGATGGATCCTCAAGTTGACACTAATCAATCATTCCCAATAATTCATCATAGACGGTTGCAATCCAAATCTTTTAAACTATGGAAACGATTTACATAAAGGACAAAAAACCAGAGTATCGCATTCAGAAGAACCAGGTTCTGATTCGTTTCCTATCCGAGAATAATTAACCAGTATTTCTCTTGATAATAGAGTCGAATAGGTACACCTCCTGTACCTATACTCTACTGCTTAAAATAAATTTATCTGATTTAATTGGTGTGAATGATTTTGTAAACATCCGTCGTTGATCCTGAACCTATTAGTTTTGATAAATAATACTAATTAAAGACGCTTGGTCATGTATCATGGTCATATCACAGAACAGACTAACGTGAGATGCTTCACCTCCTCTAGACGTTCAGCCTAATGGTCACACGTTTCTCAGTCTTTCCTCACCATCAAACATTCAGTTCCTACCAACCATCATATCCTTCTTTATTTATCTTTGGGGTATTACCTTCTGTAAAGTATCTAGTGTACTATTTAATTATATTGTTGTCAAGATTATCTTCACAAACATTATGTAGCCAAGTATTTGAGTTATTTATTATTTCTGTTGCGCTAAATTATCTGTATTCATTTTAATAATAATTCTTATGTAAATATTTCAACATTTACAAACAATCTTTAATTCGTCGATTCGATAGTTAAAGCTGGATTTGCTAGAAAATTTCTTTTGTCTTTTGACTATTAATTTGGAACCTGATGATAATTTATGGAAATAGAATATTTTTTCAGTATAGGGTTGGAAAGATTGTTACGTTTTTGACTGAAATCATGCATCAATCGATGTTAGACCACCGTTGAAAAACCTGGAAGCATTGGATGGCCATTTCATTTTAGTACGGGATTCCTCATCAGTGCGCATGCACGATCCCGCACACGGCATATGGACCTAGGACTTTCGATGTCGAGTGCAAATACTTAACCTCTAGATGACTTAGCCGGCATCCAGGTTTCAACGGTGATCTAACATCGATCGATTCATGATTTCAATCAGAGACTAGTTTTCGTTCTAATGTCTTTATCTTGATGAAATGTGAACTTTTAAACAGTTGGTAGCTAATTGCTTTATGACAGGAAATCACAATTATCGAATACCACTTTCGATCTAAGTTCTCAGTGGCAAACAAAAAATAAACTGAATTCGTTTATATGTATACACGTATATATTACTTACGCGTTCAATAAATGCTATCTTTTGTCGATAATCGTCAATTCGTGACACAAGCTTTTCATTTTCCTCCAATAATTTTGATATTTGTGATCGTAGTAAATCAATTAGATCCTGATTCATTGCTTCACGTAACGGATAATGAAAACAATCGATATCAAAATTGTTATTACTACTGGGAGTATTATTGGTAATTGAAGTAGCAACAGTATTATTATTATTATCATTACTAAGATTAGTTGAAATAACTCCAATTTGACCTATATTACCACTGGTACAACTAGTAAAACCACTACCGACACCATCATTATCAATCGATTTCAATATTTGAATTTTTGTTTCATTAGAAGAAGATGCATTGGAATCCTCCATATTGTAATATGGATTGATTGTGAGATATTTATTAGGTGTATGCCGATTTGAATTATTTGCTTTATTATTATTATTATTATTAAAATGTTCTGGTGACCATCTATTATGACTTGGATTATATTCAGATGATAAATTATCAAATTTTGAATGATTTGTCATTCTATTAATAGCACTGCTACTATTATTATTATTTTGATTATGTCCTGTCAATTCAATTGAAGATGTTGAAGGTGATAAAATTGAAATTGAATGTTTTCTAGATGGATTATTGCTTTTTGCATTCCTGTTGTCTTCACTTTCAAAAATCATCAGTTATTTATGTTTTTGTTTAATTGTAGCCTATTTTATTATTTATTGTGAAAAAAAAAGAAACAAAGATAAGTTATAATTGATAATGATGATGAGAAGTGTGAATAATGTTAAATATAGTTACATAGTATGATAACAATCTAAAAATAACTTTATAACAACTTACAGTTTATCGATTAGCAACGAAACATATAACTTGGAAATGAAGAGACTTCTAAGTTTTGTATGTATTGATATGATGATTAAACTTTTTTAACGTTTCTAATAGGCTCCTCGGTGTTCAGCAGAGGAGTGCCTTCTGATGACTGTAGATTATTTCTAAATAAATAAACAGTGCTCAAACGTAACTGGTATACACAGATGTTGAAGAGTCATCATGCTATATGTGAAGATACATACATACACATCAAACAATCATTTTTATACAGTGAAATCTAATTTAGTCCAGAGGCTGATATGAACCGAAGAGTCAGTTAGATATAAGTTTTCACTTTATTCTAATATAAGAATACAGAGATTCAGGGATCGGAAATAGAACAATCTGATTGCAATGAGAGTTTGTAATGCTTAAGTTACTAAGTTCAAATCTAATATTGCATATATTTAACTTAAGTAAATTCCCATAGTAACACGATAATTATCTCATGCTTATGGGTAGTCTTATGTTTAAAAATTTTTATTTGATGACATGACGACATTTCATTAAAAGAGGTATTTCAACCCTAGTTTGATAGGATGGGCGAACTCAAGTTTATCATGCATATGTGGACGTATATTACTTCAGGGTCGAAATGTCTGTGAGAAAGATGAAAAAGCACATGTTACTCACTGAAACCGTTCGTGTAGTTCATCAAGGCTTGATTCAAATATCTGAGGGATATATATATATATATATATATATATATATATATATATATATATCAATGAATTGTGTATATAATAGGTTCAGTTTGCCAATGCAGTGTCCCAGTTGTTCTTAGCCTTCTCATTCAAGTACTACGTCGAACTCAAGCATATATATCAAATCTAAGTAGGACAACCATACGATCTGACTAAGATTTTAAGATCTGAAATAGTTTGCTTATTAATATACGTGTTCATTAGATAGTTACTAGATCCTTATTTGTTAAATTCTTGTATCAGTCCGTTCATAAGGTGTCATTTTCTCTCTCGTTCAGGCAGCAATCCATTTCTCAACAATTCCATGAAGCTTATTGACTTCACAAAGCATCCTCTTTATAAAATTAATGAATATGAGATAAATGGTCAACGTTTTATTTGGAATTCTATCCCTGTACTGAATATGATTTCATTAGGAGTGTGATTTAGTTTCAACAGTCTTACCGTTGAAATCAATATCTAGTTATTGTAAGGCCCAGATCTATAAAATATCCTCATTTCTGGCTAGCAAATACTCCATAAAAAATTATTTTATCGGAGATCTGCAAGGACATATACAATATAGTGTAGCCCAACAAACAAAATATAAACACAAATATAGAAAACTACACTCAGATACATAGCATTAACCTACTAAATGAATAGAAAAATAATCAAAAGCACTGGATACAACGTACTAGGTAGAGGTTGTAGGCAACCTTAGCTATTTTTTTTAGACATTATTTAAATACTATCACTATACGATAAACTTTGTTAATAATCACTTAATTTATATACACATTCGTTAGCATAAATATAGTTCATTCAATAGTTGAGATCATGAGTTAATTGAAGCTAGACCACTATGGGAAACCTGGAAGCACCGGACGGCTGTTTCGTCCTATTATGGGATTCCTCAACAGTGAGCATTCACGACTCCATCTCTCAGGATTCGAACCCAGGATCTATTGGTCTCATTCAATTAACTGATAATGTAAATCATAATGGCAATATATATTAATTATTGATTAATATCAAGTATAAAATATTCTACAGTTTCAGTATACAATAAGAATTTAGTTATAACTATGGAGAATGTTATTGTTTAATAAAATTTAGAAATTCTAACCAGTTTTTAATTAAATTCAACATTAAAACTTCCTTTATTCTTTTTATTTGATTTACAGCATAATTGTATGTAAACAGGTATTTATAAGTCTTATCCCTATCCATTATTACCTATGGTCTTGTAGATTAGTCTGAATTAGTTCATAGAAGAAACGTTCTACATACAAGTATCATTTAATGAAAATATATTTCTTTCTTAAAAGCAAAACGGAAATTTTATAATAATGATGTATATTATATATATATATATATATATATATATATATATATATATATATATCACTTAAAAATGTTTTCTTTCTTATGTTGGATAATCATAATGAACGGGATTCTAGCTTAGAATTGATTCTCAAACAATTGGTTATTGATATAAAGATTGTGAGTTTTGACACTAATGTAAAATGAATGAAATACGTTTAAACATCTAGTAGTAATAATAGTTAATACTTAGTAATTGATCATTATAAATCATGCTGTTCCTTCATCTCTATACTTAACTAATAAACTCATATACCATGGAATCAATGATTGATAAGATAAGAGCTATAACGATGGAGACGATTAAAAAAACAATTATCAGTTTAGGTGTTGTGGAGATTGTTAAGTTTTTGATTGAAATCATAAGTCAATTGAAGCTAGACCACGATGGAAAACCTGATAGGTCCTGGGTTCGAATCCCGCGGGGTGTGGGATCGTGGATGCGCACTGCTGAGGAGTCCCATACTAGGGCGAAACGGCCGCCCGGTGCTTCCAAGTTTCCATGGTGGTCTAGCTTCAATTGACTCATGATTTCAATAAAAAAACAATTCTTGAATTGTAAGGAAAAACCCCAAGAACTAGACCTGATAACCTGTAAATTTCAAATATCGATTTAAAATATTTTTCTGAAGTTACACAAATTGAAATAAATTGTCTTGAAGATGTAACAAGATCTTGGTAAATAATTTCAATCATGTGTGGTATAAATATAATCAAATGACCTTAATAATAATAAATGATTTACATAATCTATACATTAGTATTTACAGTTGTATGATAAATATTATATCATTACGTAACCTCATTTGATAAGTGGATTATTGAATCACTTTATTATGTAATCGTTTCTATCCTTCAATCGAAATATATTTACCATACAATTATAAAAACGAATGTACAACTTAAGTAAATAACCTGGAAGCACTGGACGGCCGTTTCGTCCTATTGTGGGACTCCTCAGCAGTGAGCAGTGAGGGATCGTGGATACACACTGCTGAGGAGTCCCACAATAGGATGAAACGGCCGTCCAGTGCTTCCAGGTTTTCAATGGTGGTTCAACATCAATCGGTTCATGATCTCGATCAAAAACTTAACTATCTCCACAACCACTATACTGATAATTAGGTAAATAATTTCATCAAAAAAAAAACTTTTTTCTTCCCTGAATTCTCTTTATTTTTATTCAATGAAATTGAGTTAGTTTAATGATCTTGATAACTATAACAAACTCTACAAAATATCAGACTCCATTTTTATGAGTCTGACAGTTTAATTTAGCTTGTTAAACATTTCCAGGAAGACAATGTTAATAATTCATAAACTGCATAGTCGTATATAGTCATATATGCATGCAGTTTACAATGATTTACTTGTGTAAAGTTCAAAATGATACTACATATATCTGTTAAAGCAATGGGCTACATTCAAAGCTTCATGCAAACTATATAAATGGAATCGTACACCGTTCGAATTTGCAAATTTAGACATTAAAACGTGTTATAAAAATCTGATTAACATGTATATAATATATACATTACGTCATTATATAGACTTAATGACTCTGATTCATTATTTATTATACGATAGTACATATATTAGTAGTATCATTTTGTTACATGATTAAACCACCCTTGTAATTTTGGGCTCTACCGATATGCGTTCATTTTGTAGAACATCCACTTTATACTACTTGACATAAGAACGCTTGATCTGAATTTGAATACTGGAAAAATATTACAGACAACCAGTCGTCAAGTAGATAAGTAATTTTAATAATCAGAATTCAGTATAACAACTAAACAAAACATACACTATTCTTTCCAAAAGAAAACATTTTCCTTTTACATAACTTTTTAATAATATTTTTAATCCGGTTTATATTATATAAATCATCATCGGTGATTATATGGGGAAATAAAATCGGTGTTTAATCAATCATTTCTTTTGAATGATTTTCATAATTCTTTCTTAACATCAAAATGTAAGTGCAAAGAAATCAATTGGTTTATACCAGTTTCTCTGGAGAATGAAATCAATTTATTAATATACATTATTGTTGTTATCATTTTTACTACCACATTCTATCATCTTGCAATTGTGTCTCTAGTTTTCTCCTTCAATGTGTACATATAAACGTACACATAAGGATATATACATATATATTTATATAAACGTACTGTTCCAACATTTCCTCATATTTTCATAGTTTACACAACAGATTGATCTTAGTCAAATTATCACTAAAAACTAGGAGGCACTGGATAGTTGTTTTATCCTAGTTTAGAACTGTTTAACAGTGCACATTCATGAGCCCATCACAGGGGATCTAACTCAAGGTTTATGGTCTAATAAGCAAGCGCTTACACAGAAGCCCGATAATAATTTCTTTACACACTAGTTACTTTATGATTTATCTAAGAGGTATGCGGAATATTGATTACTATTACTACTAATTGCTATTTTCGTTATTTGGATTACCTGGTATTTTAAAAATAAGCACTATATGTTATTACTACCGATTTTATTGACATAATATAAGCACTTGTTTTTCTTTGCGTTGAGATGGCTGTAAACCAAAGTGATTGACTTTATTTCTTGACCGCATACTTTAAATATGAGAGACAGTATTAAACATTTCCGTGATATATGACTGAATAAGTGAGTAAATGACGTAATGCACATTTATTGTGGATGTCATATTACTAGTAAAATTAACATTTAACAACAAACTTGTT